AGAGAGTTAATAGGGAACCAATGAGTAGAATTTGATTTTTAAAAATTCCATTCTTGGGCCTGGGAGATGGCTCAGTAGAATAAGCACTTTCCTGGCAAATGCAAGGGCCTGAATTTAATCCCCAGTTCTGCAAAAAACCCCAAACAAACAAACAAACAAACAAACAACAGGGGGGTGGGCTGGGAAATGGCTCAGTAGAATAAACACTTCCCTGTTAAGCGCAAGGGACTGAGTTCAATCCCTGGCTCTGCAAAAAAACCCAAAAAAACAAAAACAAACAAACAAGCAAACAAACAAAAAAACCAAAAAAACCCAACAACAACAAGAACAAAATTCCATTCTTAGTGCCTGTCACATGTTGATGGTAGCAATTTACAAATAATAAATGTAAATTGGTAAATAAACACAACCCATCCCTCACTGCTCTGTGAGATAGGCCTTAGCATCCTCACTTCAGGGATGATGGAATGTAGCTCAGAGGTGATAAGTGATGTTTCCTATTTCCCATAGCTAATAAGCTACAGAACTCAAATTCAAGTTCGGCTCTGTAGAATTCCAGTCCCCAAGTTTCTCAAAGGTTCTGATATCTAGTTCAAGGGATGAGAACTGTTATGGTTTGTACATAGCTCCAAAGGCTCATGTACTCATAGGGGGAGGTGGCTGAATCTAGGGTGTATGAAAATGAATCAAGGGTATGTGATAACTGAATTTTTCCCCTGGCTGTTGTAGCATATTTCTTGGTGTGGATAATGGCAAGACCTACTCTAGGACTCTTTCAAGGGAGTTACCCAGTCCAAACCCTTGGACCCATCAGATTTTCTATTCTGAAATGGTGGGAACCTCATCTTGGTTGTTCACCATCACATCTCTAATGCTTGGCCCTAAAACATGTGAGGCATGAGGAATGGACCCCTTAATTTCCAATAATGTAATCATGGAGAGGTAAATATGTGAGTTGGTGTTATGGTTTGTGTCTGTTTGTCCCCCAAAGCCTCACATACTCATTGGTGTGGTTTCTAGAGTTTACAATTAATTCATGAAATAATGCAGGAGATTATGGGTGTGAGTGCTACACCCACACTTGGGTGGGTAATATGCATAAAATATAAGGGAAAGAGGCTTGGAAGCTGCCACAGATGTTGTTCCTCCTTTTGCTCTTTGCTGTTTTCTACTGCCGTGAACTGTTGCCCTTTGCCATGTGCCATTTTGCCTTAGAGCCAGCCAAGTATGGACTGAAGCCCCCACAAACTGTGAGCTAAATAAGTCTTTCCTTTCTTCAAAAATGAAATAAAAATAAACATAGCCCAGGATTTACGGAGAGCAAACTTGGTACCCCAACAAGGCCATTTTACATAGAAAAATTGACAGCTCTATAAAAGTAGATTTTGCAGTAGCTAACAGAATGTCAATGAAGTTCAAAAATCTCTAGATAATTTTACAATATTCTGAGCCAATAATTATTTCTAGATTCATCAGGTGTCCATACCTGTAACCCCAGCACTCAGGAGGCTGAGACAGGAGGATCATTTAGAGTTCAACATCAGCTTGATGTACAAAGTGAGCTCAAGGCCAGCATGAACTACATTGTAAGATCCTGTCTCAAAATGGCAAACATAAAAATTATTACCAGATTCAACCATGTGCCATGGTCTGGTATACATGCTTAATATGAAACATCTCACTTACTCCTCACTACACTCATACCACACAGTTACTATTATTGTCATCTTGCTACAGACTAGGATGTTGGTTCATTGACAGTGTGTCAGTTACCGAAGGTTGTAGAAATAATAAATGACACTATCAGCATTCAAAACCAACTGATTCCAGAACTGAGGCATCTAACTACCATGCTACATACCTAATCCTATAGGTCAGTAAAGAAAATAGTATGCAAAGCACAATTTGGTGGTCAGTTTCATATTTTAGGACATATAATAGGAAAACAAGCTTCTAGAACTATATTTATAGGATTTGTGTTGTCTAGTAAAACATAAAAGTAATCATATGGCCACTTGAAAATAACCTCACACTTTATTACATCATCGGCAAGGTTTAGTTTAGTACACATATCACATTATACAAAGAACTATTTTTACTTGGTAAATAATAGGCAAGTAAAGACATAATATAGCAAGACAATGAAGTGCAGTTATATGTAAGGCTATGTTCAGGCTTCCATAAAGGTTGGCTCAAGGTAAGAACTTGTATAGATGGCATCAAGTCATAATGTATTTTCCTAATAAGGTATTAAACTAAAACTGTTTGCTCTTTTTAATAATTGAGCAGAAACATAAAAACTTTTTTTTAATTTATATAACTTGCCACAACACTTTAGAAAGTAGGTGAACACAATTTCTATAAAATCTGTCATGAATAGATTCTTGGGCTTTAATTTCACTGTGTAAAAACTCTTTTGTCGTCTTCATATACACCTCACTTGTAAATTTCAGTATACAGTTTGCCCTTGAACAGTGTAGAGGTTAAGATCATTGACCTCTGCAGAGCTGAAAATATCCATGTATAGCTTATGATTTTCCCCCAAACTTAAATGCTAATAGCCTACATAGACTATAATTCTTACTGATAAAAAGAAATTCAATTAGCTTATATTTTTATGTTAGATATATTAAAAAGCATAAAAAAGCAAGGTTATCAAGAGATCACTTTTTACTCTGAAATATAACCTTCTGGAGAGACCACAGCTCACATGGTGATGCTCAGTGCCATATGGCATCACAAGTGGTTCCTTGCACCACTTGAACTCATGGCATTAGGTAGAGGAGGTAGTTGTGATGTTATTACAATAGTGGATTATACATTAAAGCTCATTTTGTGTGACTATGACTTAATTCTGCATCTTTACATTTGTTTACATTTTTCTTGGCAACACATGATACTAAGTATTGTTTGCAAGTGTTTGCATACAGTTTAATAAATTTTCTTTTTATGATAGATTTGTGTATATTCTATGATAGTAAATAATAAATAGACTATTATTTACACATATATTATGCATTCACAAAATACTTAATTTTTGTAATTTTAAAACAAGTCTAGGCTACATGGTTATCTGTGAGATTTCCAAAGTGTTAAAAATGTTCAGCTGAGTGTGATGGTGCATACCTGTAATCCCAGCACTGAGGAGAGGCTGAGTCAGGAGCATCACTGCAAGTCGAAGACCAGCATGAGCTACAACGTGAGCTCAAGGTCAGCCTGAACTGTATAGTGAGACCCTGTCTCAAAAAGAAAATTCTTCAAAAATGTGCAGTAAAAGTGGAGCTTCATTGTTGAAACATGTTCAGAGATGAGGCTTTGGAATCAGTTCACAAATTTCTAGTTCCAAGACCTTTGTGCTAATTACTGAACCTCTCTGTGCCTCTGTTTTTCTTTTGGAAAATGGGGGCTATGTCTCTCTCATGATATAAAATGTCTAGAACAATTTTTGGCACATGGTAATTGCTTAACAAAGTTTAGCCATTATCAACCTACTTTATGAAAAGGAATCATAAATGTGAATTAGAACACAAAATTAAATATAGTCTGATGGTAACGATATAATGACCATTTTCTGTGTAGCATTTTCATTTTTATTATACACTACAAGTATAAATTAAAAAATACACTCAAAGAGATATTTCTGATTTTCATCATAAGTGGAAGAAACCCCTGGAATGATGATATAAATAGTGACTCTCATAACTTCTGATATAAAGAGATCAAACAGTAAGAGAAAGGGGAAAGGGAGAAAAAGTAGGTAGGGGAGAATAGAAAGAAAACTATGACTGTACTCAGACCCCTTGTTCTGTCACCTCGGACCCCTCTACTTTCCTCTGCTTCTGTCACAGGTAGCAATGAAACTACTGGGAAAGGGTAGTCCAGGCTAGAAACAAGTATTTTAAAATGAGATATAAAAGAAACAGTATCATGAATTGAAAACATGGACAGAACTATTATCTTTCCTGGTCCCTAGGCATTTTTTGTTGAAGCATGGATCAAAGCAAAGTCACTTCTGTAAAAGCAAAGAGGAAAGAATTGAAACCCTAAAACAGTCCCCTAAGGAATTAAATATCTAGGTAAAGAGTATCAATTGAAACAACTATAAAACAGCATGGCATCATGTTTGCAACCAATGAAACAAAATACATCTTAGTGCCATATGAAATTGTAAGATTTTTGAGTATAATAAGTTATTTATTTCTTCATTTATTTTTGATCTAAAAATACCTAGAATAATGCTGAGTATATGTGTTCTTCATTCTGCACTTTTCAAATTTGCTTCCTGAAATTTTACATGGCTGGTATTGAATCCTATTTTAAAGGAAGTCATAAAACAAATGTCCAGCTATTTTCAGTGCTTGTATATTAAGAGCACAACCATTCAGTGTGAATCTGAAGTTTAGACTGTTGTTTCTGTGACATTTATCATAAGTAACTCAAACAATTCAGGCTCATGTTAGTTAAATTTACTATTCAGATCTCAGAGTGATTTTTCTTTTCCCCCAACAAGGAAAAATTAATGTTCCATAAGTAGAAAAAAATCACATTCTCCTAGTTTGACACAACTATTTACCCTTAAATTAAGCACAAAAACCTTTTCTTTTTATGAGAAGAAGAAATTTCTGTATACCCTTTGTAAATGGTTATATATAAGTGCTGGGCATGGATACAGAGAATTTAATCAAAATCCCATGTAGCTTCAGGGTAGTTATATGCGCAACACAATTTCCATTGTATTGAAAATTTCATTCTGTAAATATTTATCTATTTTTAAAATTGCCACATCTGTGGAAAGTTTAATAGGTTTATACTCAAGGAAATGGAGAAAAGGAAAATTTGCTTTCAGAAATCATTTATGTGTATTTATTCTGTTCACACAGAGTACTTCTTGCAACTAATCATGAAATTTAATGTGAAGTGAAACCACCCCAGTTATGGTCTAAATGACAAAATCAGAAGAAAATTCATCAATAATCAATCAGTAATTTTGATCATCGTACCTTTTTTCTCTGATTTGTCAGAAACTTTTCCTCCAATTGGAGAGTAAGTAGTATCCATGGACTCGGTCCCTCTGTTCCCTTTGCTAATGCCATTTTCATACAGCTGTCCTTCAACTGGTTGCAGTTGCCAAGTGAGGCCAAACAAATGTACTGCTGCAAGGAAAGAAGTCATATATTAACTTATTCAGGCCCTATAAAAAGACCTTCTACACCCATGTACACCTAAAATGTGCATGATGAGTCAGTTATCTTTTAGTTAGGATAAGCAAATAGTACTTTATACCCATATGTATAATACATATAGATATTTTGTCAAGTAACTTTTATAAAATGTTTTGAGGCTAAAGATTTCCTAGTTGATAGTATTAAAAATTAGAAGATTAGTTAGGCAATTATAATGAAAATGAAAGTTGTGACTCATTCCTTTTCCATTTCCATTAGTCATGTCACTCCAATTTGTATATTAAACTACTGCAGAGAAATATGACAGCCTATCATGGGATCATGAAGACTTCTCGCTGGCAAATATTTCCATGAATTTCTAGAAAGCACATGGTCCTACAATAGATCCAACAGATGTTGACATCTAGATATCTACTAGGGTGATATTTTATCAAATATATTTATCAAATATATTACAAGTGTAATATAACCATGATATTATGAAGAAGAAGTTACATGAGATAGGTTCAAATTTCTACTAGTTAATTAAAAAGTACATACTATAGGTCAATATGTAGGGAAATGATCACACATTGATAATAAGAATATGAAAATGTAGTAATATTTTTGGAGGGAAACATGGTACCATTGATTAAAAAACCAAAATTTTGTTTATGCTCTAAGCCAGCATTTTAACTTTTATGAATTACTTATATTATTGCAACCAATTACAAGACAGTGCATTATATCATTCAAAAAACATAAAAAGTTATGATCAATCTAAATATTTATCAAGAAGCAGTAAATTATATAACTTGCAATATAATAAATAACATGTGATTATGTAGTTATTAAATTCTTGTTGCTGAAGACCATTCAGTGGAATGGGAAATAATCATTATGCATTAAATAAAAATATCAGGCTCCAAAACAATACAAATAGATTGATCTGGAGTGTGTGTGTGTGTGTGTGTGTGTGTGTGTGTGTATGTTCATGTCTGTGGAAATAATGTGCTCCCAGAACTTATAGTAACATTTCAATAATAGGGAGAACTTTTACATAGTTTTCATCTTATTCTTTATGATTTATACATTTTTCTTATTTTTTTTGTAAATGCACATGTATGATGTTTGCCATCTGTAAAGAAGCTTTCATTTTAAAAGAAATACTTTAAAGAAATAATAAGTTAAATTTGGCTGATTTGATCAAACATAGCTTTATGAAGAAATAAGATTAAAGATAGACTTTGAAGGATGTGCATGGCTTTGATGGATGACAGCAATGAGTGGGGAGAATAGGCAGGTTGAACAAAATATCATTTTGTAAAGTACAGGATATTTTTGATGCAAAGGAATTTTCTACAGTTCATTGGAATTTAGTTAGATGTAGGTGGTAGTACAAGATAAGGCCAGAAGGGTTAGGGCTATATTGTAGATGACATTGAATACCACACTTGAACATTTAGATTTATTTTATTAATCAACAGAGATACATTCATACTTTCTGAACAGATGAGTGAGACCCAGCCCACGCCCAGACCCAGTGTGTGAGTGAGATCTTCAGCCATGCTCTTGGGACCCTTTCAGACCCAGCCCAAGTCCAGGATGGTGAGTGTGTGGGAGAGCTTCCACACTCCCCTTTGCTTGCTGTATCCCTCCAGACCCAGCCCAGGCCTTGCATATAGGCCTGGGGTGAAACTCTGCAGCTGAAGTCCCTTCAGAGAGGCTAGGGGCCAGAACCACCCAGATATTCCAGAAGCAGAACATCTTGCCAGAGGGGCACAACAGGTTCAATTTCAAGGGCTGCAGCAGGAAGAAGCGAGCCCTGCAGCCAGACCCAAGCCAGGCACAACTGCATGAATTCAAAGTTCATAGATCTGCACCCTAATTTCAGATGAATGAAATAATGAATATGACCAGAAGGTTAAATACATAGCAATGACAGTTATGGAAGACTTATAGGCAAATAAAAACTGCCATTAGAATTCCTTTTGTAGAAATAGTGTGTGAATAGATTGGAAGCCCAGAGATAAATCAGAGAAACCAACTGAGTTGGTACTTTCATAATAAAAGTGAGAAATAATCAGTGGCTCAATTATGGACATGTCATAGGAGTCTCAATTACTTGCAGTGAGGAGACCAAGAAGGGAGATACTTTAAGAAGAAATTATTCAGATGGCAAGCCAGGATTTGAGAACAAGTCAAATCACGTGCTTGCATGTATATATATTTCTTGCATCTATGTAGGTATTTTGGTGAGGGGATATAGGTAAGTGAGGAAAAAGGATGAATTCAGCAATTAGTACAGTACATCAGTAACTGATGACTAGTAGAACCATGGATATGTTTAGGGGTTGCTTCACTGGGTTGACACATAATTGATGTTACATATGTGTTTCATTGAATTAATAACATGGTTTGAGTGGAGACTCAAAGAATGTAATTAACTTTGCTTTGGAGATTCTGAGTTCCAGAGAATTTGCAGACAGTAACGACAACAACAAGATATTTGAATTTATAGAAAAATATTAAAGCTAGAATAATATTGCAGAATCACACATACACAAAGGCAACATTGAAATTGTGAAAATGAATGAGGCCACTGAAGGGAGAGAATATTAGAAGACAGCAGTGCCAAGGGAAGAAGTGGGCCAAACTTCTCACTTGCTTTCTTTTTTAAAAAATATTTAAAAAATATATTTATTTATTTGGCACAGGGTCTCTTTATTATGCAGCTTGAACTCTTCGCTATTTCCCCAGTCCCTCACTTGTTTTCTCATTATATTTTTCAACATTAACTAAATATGACCAAAAAGAAAATATGAGAGGAAATTTCTCATAAGCTACTTCATATTTTTTGTATTCCTAGAAAGACTAAAGGGGGCTAATCTCTGTATCTGTCACATACAATATAGTAAATGATTTAATGATTGAGAATGGAGAATTTAGCCAGATAGCCTCATTAAATAGCAATGATTCAGGCCTGGAGAGATAGCTTAGTGGTCTAAGTGCCTTCCTTGCAAGTGCAAGGGCCTGAGTTTGATCCCAAGTATCACATGTCATGTTGGTCCCAGAACTGTGGGTGCGACCCATCTGCTCCAAAACTGGGCAGGGTGGCACACAATTGTGAGCTTGACACAGGAGAGGCCGAGACAGGAGGATCACTACAAGTCTGAGCTATGTAGTGAGAACTTGTAACAAATAAATAAATAAAAATTTTATAAAAACAAATACATTTATTTTTATTTTTTCCACAATTTTATTTATAAACAAATAGCAATGAGACAGCTTCAAATAAAATTGGTAGGACAGTTTCAATAATTAACACATTGCATACTGTCTTCCTAGTGGTTATTTTTTGTACAAGATACAGACACGATACCCTATTTACAGACACTGTTAGAACAAATCTCTCTTCATTGATTTAAGAGAATGTAGCTGTATATCTATTCTAACCATTTTGAATACACAGATACAAAATGGTTATTCATCTGTATCCCCTTTTTTTATTTAGTTCCGTCATTTAAATATTATAGGTGTGTGAACTTAGCAAAATATTCCAAAATAGTCTAGTAGTCCATAATAGTATTGGGTCTTTCTCATGACTGGCAGTCTCAAAAGTTGTTGACCTGAGTCCCCTACAGCTCAACGTAACACCATGGCTTTACTTCTTATACTTCGTTTTTATACTTTACTGCTGGATGGTTAAGACCAAGATAAAGTAAGACCTATGTAACAAGAATTGCAGCTTTTGTATGTGATGAGTTCAGTCAATTCCCCTCAAGATTTATCCTGAAACCTTGTACCTCAGTTTGTAGATCCTTTGTCAGTGTCAGCCATGTGGATGAGTCACAGCCATTGCTTGACCAGTTTGCTCTCTGTGAAAGCCTGGGAAAATGTTTTCTCTCCATGTGACTCTCCTTAGGCACACTCCACATCACTGATCACTTTCCTTTTTGGCCCCATAATCTCCTTGATCAGATAATTTAAGACACACCTGAGTTACAGAATGTTATAGTACAGGTTCTCATATGTCCTGAGTCTTAATTGACTTTGAAAGACTAGGGCCAAAATGTTGGCTTTCCGTGCAGCCCTTCTTTTTCTCTAATTTTTGGTCTGCAAACTTAGGTTGTACCCCCCCCAGAACACAAGCTTATTGTTATTACCATGCAACCTAGGCTGTAGAGCTTAACCTCACTATCTGTCTTAATATCAAACATCTTAGGCAAAACATGGAAGAGGTATTTTTCATCAAGCATTGATATATTAAACTTTAAGTTCCTACAGAATATGAGAAAAAATTTAAAAAATTAAAATATATTTAAAAAATAGGAATAAATGATTATATATGTTTACTCATAAGGCCAGAAATCTAACCATATACTGCATTGTAGCAGAACAGCCTTGAAACACTTCTTTTCCTGTCTCCTGCCTTCATTCACCAACTTTTCCTTTTTAAACAAACATTTACTTGAGAGACAGCACAGCAGCACCTGGCATGTCATGACAAGCAGCCCATATTCAGAAGTGCCAGAATGACAGGCACTCCAAGCATGAAACTACTATTACAGATTACCAACCTAAGTGCAGTTGCTTAGTTCACAGGTATCAGTATATATAGTTAGTCAGGGTGAGTATCTTTACAATTAACTGCTAGATTCAAAAATCTTCTGGAGATTCTCAGGATCATTGCCTTGCCCATCTTCTACATATAACTGTATGGCTTGTCATTGTCATGTTTCCGAGCTCTTCTCCTTTCCCTCTCGTAATTAGTTAGTCCTCGAGTTCTTGTTTTCGTTTTACTTGTATTATGCATTTCTATTTGTTTTTCTTCTTTTGAGTTTTTGTACTAGGTAAAGTATATGATATTTACACATGTGTGTCTGGTTTATTTCACTTATGAGTATATGTTCAAGTGGCATCCACTTCAATATAAAGGCTTCAAGTTTATCATTCTTTATAGCTGAGTAATACTCCATTGTGTAAAAATA